GGGGGGGGGGGGCCTGGCTGGGGGGGAGTGGGGCTGGCCCGGGTGCACGCAGATCCCAGGGTGCTGTCAGTCCTGCGCTCGGTCCCAGCGGGGCACATGGGCAAGTCTGGCCCCAGGGATTCCATCCCGCCCCCGCCCACCTCCTCTCTACGGCATAGCTGCGTACTGCCTGGCTGGTAGACACACTCATACCAACCAGGCAGTACGCAACTACCTACTGATATTCATGATGATACTACAACTTACTTAATTAGAAAATACCCGACATATCTATGTCTGGTATTTTCTCAATTTGTTTCCCGGACAGAAAGCTCAAATACCGGACTGTCCCGTTCAAAACCGGACACCTGGCCACCCTAGTATTGTCAGGCTTTGTGGGAGCCTGAAAAACACAACTTCCATTTAAGGATGCCAGTGGTTAACGGGGGAGGCCTACCAGTTACAGTTCACCAGTGAGAGCCGGAGCAGCCCTCATCCGCAGTGGGCCTGACCCGGGTGCGCTGCAAACAGGGACTCTCCATCCTAGCCAGAGCAGCCCTGTCCGCAGCAGGACTGGGGGGCCATGGTGGACTGGGGAACCCCTCCAACCAGCCGGGCTGGAGCAGCACTTCTGCCTGTCCCCCCCATTTAATTGTTAACCGGTTAGACTTAACATCTAACCAGCTAACCCATCTAAATGGGATTTTACATCCCTGCTTCCATTCCCTCCCACACGAGCCCCGCTTTAATCCATGTGGAAGTCTGGTAACAGCTGTCGTGTGTGTCCCTCTCTCCTGCCTTCTTCTCCCTCCAGCTCCTGACCAGACGGACCGTGTGACCCTGATAAACGAGTCCCCGCTCCTCAGCTACACAGACCTGGTTGGGTTTAGTTTCCAGGTGGCCAATGGGATGGAATTCCTCGCGTCCAAAAACGTACGCCTGCTGGGTTGCCTGGCGGGTTTGGCGGGAGGTGGCTCTGAAGGGGAAGAAATCCAAGCTCATGGCGAGCAACATAAAAGCTCCCTTGACCTGCCAAACCTTCATCAGGAGCCAGCTGACAAGGCTGCCTCCCTCCAGAGAGAACAGGCCTTTGCATGGAATAGCTGCGGACCCCCTCCAATTGCTGGCTCTCTCCTGGGGCCTCCTCAGCCTTCAGCCCCTCAGAACCACTCTCTGGTCAGGCCTCGTGCTGTTTTACCTCAGAGCCAGTAGCACACGCGCAGCCTTTGTGTTCCAGTCTGTGGCACAGCCCACATGGGCCACGCTCCCGGGGCAGCACGAGGGCTTCTGGGAACAGAGCCTGCGGTGGGAGTTAACAGCTGAACGGCCAAAGAGAACACGGTGCCCAGGGGCTCCCAGGCTAACGCGACTGGCGGAGCTTGGGCCAGTGGTGAGGGGAACTGAAGCGCTGCTGTTTGTTAGGAAGAGGATAGAGCTGGATCAACTCTTCTGGGGACCCGGGGCTATAAGATATCATGGGGCCTCCTAGGCTCTGGGGTGGGGCCTAATTGGGGGTTCAGAGTGTGGAAGAAGGCTCTGGGTTGAGGCATGCAGTTGGGTGCAGGAGGGGGTTCAGGGCAGGAGTTAGCCGCTGACTTTTGTCGCCATAGCTCTGTCATCAAAAGCTGCGCAGTATGGACATATCCTTAGGCACGGCTGGATTCACCCTTCCGGGGACCCGGGGCTAGTAGATTTTGTGGGCCTCCCTAGGCTCCGGGGTGGGGCTAAAAGTAACAGAACCAGAGTGTGGGAGACGGCTGTGGGTTGAAGCAGTGGGTTGGGTGCACAACAGGGCTCAGGGCAGAAAGCGGAGGAGGGCGTGCTGGGTCTGGGCAGGAGTTAGGATGTGGGGGAAGGTTCAGGATTGGGGCAGCAGTTGAGGTGTGGGGAGTGGGAAGGAGTTAGGGTGCATAAGGGGGCTCTAAGCTGGTGGTGCAGGGTCTGGGTGAGAGTTAGGGTGCAGGCGGGGACTCAGGGCTGGGGACGAGCAATAGCTAGGGTAGCTCACCTTTTATGGCACAGGTCCTGGGAAGTCCCAGCCACTGGGAGTTGTGGGGGTAGGGACTGGGCGCGGGGTGCCAGGTCTGGGCAGGAAGGAATTCAGCGCTGGGGTGGTGCAAGTCTCCAGGGAGGAGGGGGCAGATGGCTCTGTACATGGCCTGTGTTCACTTGCAACCCGTTGGCCATGATTCCCGGCCAATGGGAGCTGCAGGGGTGGAGCCTGCAGGCCTTGGGCAAGATGTGCATGGGGGTGACAGAAAGGGTGGGGCTGAGGGCAGTCAGCCTTTAATGCCGCCCAGACTGTGGCACTCACACCCTGCCGCAGCCTTCAGCGTTGTGCGGGGTGCCCAGGTGGTGCTCCGATGGCAATTCAAAGGGGCCCAGAGCTCCCAGGCCCTTTTGAATCACCGGGCCTGAGAGCAATTGCCCCTCTGCGCCCCACCCCGTCGGTGGGCCTGTCTGCAGTTGTAGCTCCAGCTCAGTGGGGAGGGGGAACGGCAGCGTGCAGAGTGGAGTTTCTGTGACATGGGCACCCCCTCTAAGGGCTCCCGTTCCCTTTCCTGCAGTGCGTGCACCGAGACCTGGCCGCGAGGAACGTCCTCATCTGCGAGGGGAAGCTGGTGAAGATCTGTGACTTCGGGCTGGCCAGAGACATCATGAGGGATTCCAACTACATCTCCAAAGGCAGCGTGAGTCGGGGACCCGGGCCCGCCCCCTTGTGCTCCGTGCCAGCCGGTGCACGCACACCTGGCTCTGCCGGGAGGTCATCCCTCTTCCCAAGAGTCGGAGGCCCCGACTCTCCTCCCCCAGCAGTCTGGATCCTCCATCAGCCTGACAACAAATGTTTCTTCCCTGCCTCTCGGCGGCCGACCAGGACTAGGGACCATTAGTGCTCGTGACTTTACATAGCGGTTAGACTAGATAAGTGGGGAGCTATCGTCACCAGCCATGGAGAAAGGGGATCTGGGGGCAGGTACTGGTCCCCCAAGTCAGAGGGAGAAGGGGAAGATTTCTCTAATCCTGGCCAGAGCCACTGATGGAGGGACAAAGGGGGCAGTTCCCTCCGGGCCCAACAATTTACAAGGGCCCGGGGCTGTGGGCCTTTAAATTGCTCCCAGAGCCCGACATGGCGTGGTCCAGGCAATGTTGAGGGCTGCCTGAGGGAGGCACGGTGCAATACAGGTGGTGCTGAGGGCTGACTGCCTCTAGTCCCGCCCCTTCCACTCCAGGGCCTGGCCACCCCTGCCCCCGTCTCTACGTCTGATGGAGCCACGAGAATATTCTTTCTAGAGCCCTGTGCCGGAACTTAGAGAAGAGCCTCTGTTGGTCCCGCAGCCCAGAGCGCGCTACCACCCCGCACCCTGTCCCCGTGCAGCTCGTAGCTCTGAGTCATCCACCAAAGCGTCCCCATGAGTCTCTCGCAGAGCTGGGAATGGGATCCAGCTCTTCTGACTCCCAGGGCCCTGCTCTAACCACTAGACCGCACAGAAAGAGGAAGTGCTTGTCTCGGGCTCCCCTGCGAGGGCTTTCAAGGAAGGCAATTCCGGTCTTTCTAGGTGGGAGAGGGCCCTGGGTTCTAACAAGCATCCACCAGGATGTTCTCTTGGTTGAAAGTTAACAATATGCGAGGCAGTGCCGGGGGAAGATGAATAATCCTTTGCTCTTCACAACAGCAACTCTCAGAGAGTTTTATAAAGGAGATCAGTGTTATTGTCCCCACTGTACAGAAGGGAAAACTGAGGCATAGGGAAGAGCAGGGATTTGCCCAACGTCACCCGGCAGCTCAGTGGCAGAGCTGGGGACTAGAAACTAGGTCCCCAGAGCAGGGGTTGAGCCACCAGCCCACCCTGGAGTAGTCAGGGTGCCTCTGCCTCCCTCACTTGCTGAATCACTGCCCGCCAAGCGAGCTGAAAGCAGAGGGCTTGACGGGTGTAGGTGAGCTTCTCGGAATCCAGAAGGGGCCCGTGGCACAAGAGCCTTGGCCACCCGCTCGGCTCATGGGCAGTGGGCAAGATCCCTCCCTTTCCTCCTCCGCAGCCCAGCTGGGGCTTTCCAATCCGGCCTGGCTGTTCCCTGGTAAAACAGGAAATGAAACCAGGCCCCTTTGCAATCCTTCCTGGGGATTATTTTTGATGCCAGTTGCACAAGGAAATCCACATCCAGGGCAGCGCGCCGGGCACCCGGAGCTGCACGCAAGCCAGCAAAGCCAGGCAGTGTCAGTGCTGCAGAGGCCGGGTCGGATTGGGCCGCAGACAGGAAACACCAGGGGAAGAGGACTGGGGTGTCGATCTTGGTCCGACCTTCCTGGCTTCTTCGACAGCTCCAGGCAGATCCTGTTCATAGCGAGGCACAGTTGCCAGGTTTCAGAGGGCACCACCTTCGGCCGGGGTGGGTGGAGAGGGGCAGACGGGCCGCATTTCAGGGGCCTGCGCCAGATGAGTCAGTGGAAGGCCGGGCATCCGTGTCACTAGAGTCTCCATGGCAACAGGCAGGCTTGTGGGCCCAGCTGAGAATGGATGTAGATGCTGAGCAGATGCCTGGGTGGCTTCTGGCCAGAGCTGCTGCCCCATCCTGGGATAGTCCGGGGGGGATTCTGGCGTCTTCCCTCTCCAGGGCTGTCACGTCAGCCGCAGCAGCTCTGTCTCGAGGCCACAGTCCATGTGGCCAGGCTGGGGCAATGATCCAGCAGGAGAAGTCAGCTCTGGAAGGGAGGTGGCTTTGCTGGGCAGCAGGGAGGCCTCCGCAGGCGGACAGCAACTGTCGCTGCAGAGTGGAATTGGGAAGAGGGCTGCAGCTCTGCTGTCCTATCTGGCGGGTCAGTGTCACACCCTGACCCTGCTCTGGTAAATGGGGGGACAAGGCCCTAAGGGAAAGGGCTGATGCAAAGTGCTTGAGGGTGGAGAGTCGCTCCAAAGGGCGCCCCTCAGCCTCCTAAACTGGGCTCCATGGACAGTCACGGAGAAGGTGTCAAACTCCCCTGCCTATTGGTGCAGAGGTGAGCTGTCCCCAGAGGTTGGCTGGCTCCTGGCCCTAACCTAGTGCTGGACAACCTCAGTTACTGAGTGGGCCACACAAGTGGCCCTTCTCGGTGGGCTGCAAGAGTGTCGTAGCCAAGACAATCTCCCGGGGTAGAGCAGCTTTGCTTGCTGCACTTGGTGCCCATTGCACCGTGGCAGCGCTGTGATCGGACGCAGAGGGAGCGCACGGCTCCCCCAGTCAGTGTGGTGTGCGATCAGCATCCACCTCACCTCACGTGCCCTGGCTCTACCCGCGTGTCACTTTAGTAGGAAAACACCAACGCAGATGGAAACCAGGGGAATCCGGCAGCCCTGCGTGTGGGCCAAAATGTCTCACGGGCCACGCAGAGAACCCTGATGGGCCGCTTACAGCCCACAGGTTGCCCACTGCTGCCCTAACTCATTCCCGCTCTCTCGTCTTTCCAGACCTTCCTGCCTCTGAAGTGGATGGCACCCGAGAGCATCTTCAACAACCTCTACACGACCCTGAGTGATGTGTGGTCCTTTGGGATCCTCCTCTGGGAGATATTCACTCTGGGTAAGTATCCTGAGACTCACCCTCCTGCCGCAGAACACAGCCTGTTTCCTTGGTTTCCTTCCGTTGTGCCTCACGCAGGCACAGCAGGGCTTGTCCCTGAATCTCTTTCCAGCCCCAACCAAGAGGGGGCATCTCTCCCTGAGTCCCATGGCACCCCATGCCAGGCAGGGCCCTCGGTGACGGAGCCTTGTCCTACCATATGCTGACCCGCTCCGGTCTGGTGATGAAGGTGGGGTAGGAATGGCGAAGAGAAGGGAGGGAGGTCCTAGTTTGACAACACTGACAGTGTGTGAGTGTTGGAGCCTTCCCATTAGCCTGGTTTCCAAATCCTCTTTCTCCTCCAAGGTGGGACTCCATACCCCGAACTACCCATGAACGAACAGTTCTACAACGCCATCAAACGTGGCTACCGCATGTCTAAGCCCACCCATGCTTCCAACGAGATGTAAGTGTTCGCCACGCACTGGCCACATCTCATACGGGAGGTGCCCCGCCACCCCTCCTGCCATCTAACTCTCTGTGGTGTCCTTTCCACCCCCCTTCCTCTCCCCAGCTACGACATCATGCAGAAATGTTGGGAAGAGAAGTTTGAGATAAGACCGTCCTTCTCTCAGCTGGTGGTACTGATGGGGAACCTCCTGGCAGATACATACAAGAAGGTATGTCCCATGAGTGCTCTGGTGGGGATGTGGGGAGTAGGCTCCCCTAAAGAGGCAGCAGGGCCTAGCAGCTAAGATACTAGCCTATGGCTGGTGAGTTCAAGTCCCTGCTCTGCTGGCTTCCTGTGTGACCTTGGGCAATTAGTCTCTGTGCCTCAGTTCCCCATCTATAAATTGGGAACAGTAGTGGCACTTTGCCCCCTTGGGGTGCTGTGAGGATTAGGAGTGTGATGGGGGGCGGTCACAGAAGACCCCTTGGGGGTGTCTCCCAGGGTGCTGACACTCACCTTCCTGCTCTCTGGGACTCCGCACCACCCTGTCCTGACGGGTCAGCTCCCTGGTCTCCCCCGGCCAGGGGCCTGAGTTGAGATCCCTTCCCCCCCACCCCCGGAAAGCAATGCAGACACTGAACCTCTTCAGGTACAAGGAGTGTGCAGTTTTGGGCCCAGTCTCCTGGGATACCACTCCCCAAATGGGATCAAACCCCCCAATGAATTACTTGAGTAAGCCCCTTTTAACAATGAAAAGGGGAACATGCACACTGCTTGCCCCCCCAGGTAATAATTGTTTCCATTGGGCTTGATACTAAGTAAAAGTGTTTTTAAGAAGTACAAACTGTAGGATTTAAGTGGTAATAAGTGAAAACAGGCAGAGCAAAGTAGGTTACAAACCTAAAGAAACAAAACCACTTGCTAATTCTACCCGACACCTCAGTACAAACTTTTCAGATTCATCCTAAAACCGCTTTTCTAGCTGCCCCTCCAAACCAGGGCTGTCTCCCCGACCCTGGGGTCTTCAGCTCCTTTCTTCAGGTGCAGCCCAGCCAAAAGACCTCGGCCCCTGCTTTCCTATTCTTTTTTAAGGAATTGAGGCCACTCCCTACCAACCACTAGATGCAGTCTAGATGCAGGGGAAATTTTTTCGAAAAAAGGCCACTTTTTTTAAAAAAAACCTGTAGTCTAGACACACCCTGAGTTCTGTTCCTGGGTCTTGCCCAGTGTTCTTGGGTCACAAAGGTGCATCTACATTGCACCCTGATCTCGACTTTGCATAGCTTATTTCAAAATAAAGCGCTATTCCAAAATACCCCTTAACCCTCAAGGGTTACAGGGACGAGGGGGGTACAGAGACACCAGAACAGTGCAGTACGCCCATTATTTTGAAATCTATTTTGAAATAATGAGCTGCTTTAAAGACCTCCGGTATCCCGAAATAGCTCCGCGATGTAGACGTAGCCTAAATTCCACATGCTTCACCAGTTGTCTAGCAATCAGCGTGCATGTCTCCGTCTTTGGACACCGAAGGTCTGAGTCTCCTCTCCCACTGCCGTAGAGCAGGAGTCACTCCACAATGGGGCAACACCCCAATATCTCAAATAGCTCCCCCAAAACTGAGCCACTCCTTGGCTGCTTGGAAATGGGCCAGCCTGGGTGGCCAGGAGGGTTTCATTAATTTGTGTCTGGGAAGCACCACGCGATCTGGTGATGGAGGGCGCTGTAGCAGTGTTCAGTGGGTACATGGCCCGGGCTCTGTAGCTTATATGTCTGAGGATGCCGGCTTGACCCCTGTTACCGCTATCCACTCTCACCCGCCTCCTTTCCTTTGTAACCTGCCCCGCGGGAGCAGCGGTACCAGCAGGTCGAGGAAGAATTCCTGAAGAGCGACCACCCAGCTGTTCTACGCACCAGGCCCAGGATCCCAGGGGTCAGCAGTGCCGAGTTCCCCCCCAGCCCCGGAAGTGTCCTCTATTCCGCTGTGCAGCAGGATGGGGGGGACAACGATTACATCATCCCCCTTCCTGATCCCAAGCCAGATGGAATCGACGATGGCCCTCAGGAAGCTTCCATCAGCCGGGCCAGGTAGCAAACCCAGGCCTCTTCACGCTTCCCCGGCTCCGATCTCTCTCCCCACGGGCCTAAACAAGAAACACTCCAGAAAAAGTAGAAGCAGGAGAGAGTGGTCAGTGATGGTGGAGAGGGGTGGGGGAGGGGGAGCTGACAGGAAAAACTATTTCCCTGGGATGGGTTCCCTAGAGACCTAGTGGAATCTCCAGCCCTAGAGGTGTTTAAGTCCTGGCTTGACAAAGCCCTGGCCGGGTTGATTGAGTTGGGTTGGTCCTGCTCTGGGCAGGGGGCTGGACTCAATGACTCCTGAGGTCTCTTCCAGCCCTGGGATTCTATGATTCTATGTCAAGCAACCCCAGAATCTGCTCCCTTCATTCTCGGGATCCTTACACCTACCCGCAGCCTGGCCTTTCCCTTCACAGCTGCCCAGTTCTTCTGTCTGCACTGCCAGATGGTAGTTGGAGTCCTCACGCCAGGCTGGGCTGGGGGCCCAGATCACAGCTGGACAGCGGCGCGTTGTTGTATATGCAGCACAGTGCCCCGATGGGCACAGCCCTCGGGACATTGACAGCTGCGCTGTGTGCCTCGGGGGTGAACTGAAGTTGCATCTTGTCAATCATTTTGCGGGAGGTGCAGCCTCAGTAGAAGCCTGTCTAAGATGGAGGGTGGCACCAGGCCGCTGTGGGGCCTAGCTGGTAATTCCTCGTGCTCCAAGAGAGCCAGCCATGTCTTTCCTAGCAAGTGGGCCCTGGCTTGGGACGTCAGAGACTTCAGACAGTGCGTTAATTTCTCTCCTTTCCCTCCTCCCCCTTTAGTTCTATGCTAAACGAAGCAAACACGGCGTCCACCATATCCTGCGACAGCCCCCTGGACCCGCAGCAGGAAGAGGAACAAGCACCAGAACCGAAGTCAGGCTGCCAGGAGCCAAACCCAGAGCACCACACTATGGAAGAGAGTTTTCTGTAGCAGGGACAGGGCCGATGCTACCCCACAGCCACCAGTGAAACCAGCTGGGGGGCAGCCAGGCTTGGTGGAGAACTTTGTGGGGTGCTTGTTTATCCCACCCTCCATCCGAGCTCCTAGCACAGTGTGAGTTATAGAGGGACCTTTCCCCACTGCCAGCCTCACTGCCACACTCCACCCCATCGACCAAACTACTGAGATGGGGAGGGGTCTCCACACAGTGCTCCCAGACTGAGGGGCAGGACTCCAGCGGGTCTCCAGGGGAGATGCTGCTGTTCACTCCACTTGTTTGCTATCCCAGCCTCTTTCATGAATTTCAGCGTCCGTCTGGGCCAAAGGGGCCTCTTCACTGTTCTGCGTATCAGCCGTGCTGTGGTACAGCTGCCGCGGTGCCGTATGCGGCTGGCTAGACAGACCGATTCCTTGCAGCTCGCTGGTGCGGTGTCGGGAGCCAATAGGCCAGGCCCCAGACACTGGAGAACCAGGATTTTACTGAGTGGATTCTTTCTCCAGCGCAGCAGAGCTACCAGCGCCGCTGAAGAGAAACCAGCCGTGGGGTCTGGAGACGTTCGGTCACCGACCGGCATTCTTCCCGCTTGTCCTCTGCAGCCTGTCTGAGGTGGGCATGGCACTACAAGCATTATGGTACAGATTACCTGTGGCGCTAGGCCACGATGCTGCAATACCCCAGGCGATATCCTAGGCTGAACCCACAACAGCGCTCTGGGCTCCCAAGGGCCAACCAGGAACCGAAGAAGCTCTGATAACGACTCCGCTGTAGCAGCCACAGCGCAATCCAGCCTTAACTTCCTCTTCACAGACTCTAAGCCTAGACAGTCTCCACATCGCTCATGTAAAGGGACCAAATCAGATCTCTTAAGTCATTAGCCAGGGCCAGTATAGGAACAAAAATGGCTATTAATGAATCCCCCAGTGCCTGCTGGGAAAGTCTCTCAGCTAGCTGGCTCTAGACTGTTCATTTTATCGGTGGGAAGCAGTGGTATGAAGCTGATGTTCATACGAGTTTCCCTTTCAGTGTCATCTGGATCCCTCC